AAGATAACAAAACGTGGTTATATAGACCCTACAGGTATCGGGCACATATATATATATATACATACATATACATGTACATACACTGTGGGGGAGAGCGAGGCTCTGAGGATCCTCTGCAAGCCTACAGCCTCCTTCTTCCAGTTCGAGTCTTGTGAGACTGCTGGTTGTCTCACCGTCATCATCGCAGCCGCCATCATCATACCATCACCGTCAGCACCACCACCACCACCACCACCACCGCTACCACCGCTACCACCACCACCACCACCGCACTCGCCACAATCATCGCGATCATAATCGCCAGATGTTACGACCAGCTTCATCGCAGCCACCACCACCACCGGCACAACCATCTCCATCGTCATCACCATCACTGTCGGACCAGCATCGCCCTTTCATCACCAGAAGTGTGCAGAAACTTCTTGTTGCTCCTGCCATCCTGCTTATGAAGTTGGCTCTGGCCAGCACACTGATCACCCCAACAATCATACGTAACGGTACTTCTGGTTGTATCCTGAAGAGAACAACAGGGCTCGACGGCTCAAGAAAGTCGCTACAATCCAAGCCCTAGACACTGCAGCCCGAACCTTCAACCCCAGGCCCCTGCCGAATCCTACAACCCCCATCCCAAGCAGCCCCCTACTGTCCGTGAGGGACCTGACGCAAACCCCGGAGAAGTGAATCCCGAAAGGCAGCATTTAGAGCTTTGGGGTTTAGGGTCGAAGGTTTGATACCTTTTGGGTATCCAGAATTTTGCTTTGACTTTGATGGAGGCACGCTCTGAATCAACATGCGGTCATTACGGAGAACGTTTTGGGTTTACTCCGCGTGTAGGTGTACATTAGAGCCGTGCAGGCCAAGTGCATCGCCTGTTGTAGGCGGAGGGTTGCACTTTCCGCTACACTCAATTCATCACAATTGTATGTTTTCAGTGGAAGGGCTTAGATTGTAACACTGTCGATGTTGGAAGCAGTCATGCTCAAGCTGCGAAGGTTGCCTGGCAGCTAGCGCCTGTCTGGCCCCCGGAATCACCACTTGCACTTGCGTCTCTTTTGCCCACAGCATCCCCGATTTGCATCCTACCCTCTGGGGAGGAAGCCTAGCCGCTCACTTGCCATCACCTGTACCTTGCGCATGGTTGTGGATTGATTGGGGATTGAGAACATGGCAAGCTGCGGCGGTGGCAGAGTTCGAACGCCATGCAACCCTATATGAGCGGTGCAGACGCTCCGTGCAGGACGCAGGAATCGGGTCTCGGCGGTTAAGCTCTGCTTGAAATAATTGGACTAGCGAAGATTGACGACTTCCAGATAGCTGTGCCGAGTACTGACCACTACTAACTGTCTGACCAACCCTGCGAATTACGGGCTTGAAAGAACGCATTTCCACAGACAAAAGTAGGGAAACTATCACTGGGTCGCTGGCAGGTCACCTGATTTTTCTCCTGCTTTCTGATACAACACACAAAACGTACTCTAAAGAGAAAACCCGAGACCAAATGCGCCCCCACCCCTTTCTTGAGCCTAGAATGAAAGTGGGAAGCGGCATCGCGGCTGTCGCCAGGTGAAAGGCTGCCCCACCAACCTGACAGGCCCGGCCGGGTGAGGAATAAGCATTCGGATTATATAGGGCTTAGAGGCCCTGAGGGACTTATTGTGGTCTCAGTCCCAATACGGTCTGCCCAGATCTTCGCTCTCCAGTTGAGGCCGTTTGCTGCATGCTTTCAGTTTGAAGACATCACTATGTCAGTATGTCTTGCTGCTTCAAGACATTGGCAATCCGCTCGGAGGGGCAATGATGCTTCGCGGAGGGGAGGACAATCTCGAGGTAACAGCTCGGAGTATATCTTATGATAATCAACCATCTTGTGCAGGAACCTTTCCCGCTCACTGGTACGGTTCTGGTATACTCCAATCCGAAACAAGTACCATGACAACAAACACCGTTTCGGATGTGGGCTTCGATGCAAAGCTCCATGTGCGGCAGGACTGATAGCAACATTGGTATTTATAGTGCTGGTACGAAGGTGGCTACATATGGTTATGATAGTGGCTAGTGATGACAATGATGTTGATACTGATAATGGCGCTGGTGATGATAACAATGAAGCTCATTGGGTCTCGTTGGTGTTGCGAGTGCAAAGTAAGTCTGGTCTTTCCGGATCACACACGTTTACAATGCTTGCTTTGACGAGTCGTTTCCCGCTGCATGACAACTACGACATACTACGATTGCTTTGGGACGTTTACAACTATGGTGCCTTTTGGTAACTGGTTCGTTACGTCTAAGATTCGGAAGAAAGTGGAAAAGACATGTGACTGCTCATACTGCTATTGCTTCACCCATCTGGCCTTCATGTGCCAGTCTTGGGACAGGCAAACCAGACTCGGAACTAAATTTCAGACCCACGAGCTTAAGAAAGTGAGGCCGAGGTCCCAAAGCCTTGATCCTGTGAAACGAAGCCCCTGGATTCAAAATGGAGCTCGGCAAGGCGGCTGTGTAGACGCAGGTCAGGCCAGACGACCCGTTCGACCGGAGATCTCGGAGACGGGCGTCTCCACTTTGGGCCAAGGGTTGAGGTTCCGGAACTTCAGCTATACTGCAGCTGAGTATCTGCAAACTTTCCGCTGCGATGTCAGAGTTTGGATGACTCTCATCGGTACTTCCGGCTGGCTATGGCTTGTTGCAATCACTGTGCCCAACAGAATGTGCTCAAGAAACGAAAGCTTGGAAAAAGTCCTGGCGCTACTTCAAATCAACATATGCATCGATATTCATCAGCTCTGTACCAGGCGGCATCGCTAGTTGCACTTGGCTTGCACGGTCTTTCGAGGAAGAAACAGCGAACGTAGGAGGAGAGCAGGAGTTACTGCAACGCCGATGCAATCCGGGTTTTGAGTCCTAACTAGCATCTGTGGCACTCGATAATCGTAGCTTCCTAACCATGTCGTTATGACTGATAGCTTCAACCTTGCGCCTTCGGAAATCCCAAAGGCTCGAAACATTCCACGGACATATTGGCGATGAGCAATGTAGCTGAACCTTGAGCTGAACAGGCAAGTATTCGCAGTAGCATCATCACGACGCAGTCCTGCGACCCTGAACTTAATAGTGCCGAACCGGGCAACATGCCACCGCAATCACACCAACGGTGCCAACGCTTCAGAATCAACTGCAAAAGGAGCGAGGTGGAAAAAGAAACAAACTAAAGTGATGACAGGGAGGTGATAATGTAGGCAAACCGCATATACCCAACCTTTTGTTTCAGGTAAGTTGGCATCCGAGACAGGCTAAGGTCGATCGCACAGCATCATACCGACTGGCTTCAGGTTTAGGGTGTGCTGATAGCTGCATGGCTAAATGAGGAGGCCACTCCTAAAAGCATGGCCAATGATTGGAGAACATGCCAAGATTGAGAACTGTAACCATTGAAAGTAGTCCGCGGGGATGTCTCGGCTCGTATCTTTTTTGGATTCGGGTGGAATATATTCCTCACTGCTTGGTTTACGCCAATGGCCAACTCTCCCTTGCCAAAACCCCGGATGCCAAGTCACTTCCGCAGCAGCTGCGCTTTCAGGTCCTAGCGCCACCATACAGCCGACCCTGAGCCGAGCCCACTCCACCATAGCCTCAAGATAACTTGCACCTTGGATGCTGGTTTCCATTACAACAATTCAATAAGGACCGAAGAGGTCTGAACCCTCCCAACCCAAGCTGCCACGAGTTCGTCCTCGAAGTCGAGCGAAGCCTTTGCCGGTGGAGGCTCCGCAGAGAGTACGAGATGCTGCAGCTGCTGATGGGACACCTAGGTTCTGGCAGGATTCAAACTTCTTCTCTAGGCCGCAGGGCACCGCGATCTTTGTTTCTATCCCTTCCTTGGCCGCATGGCTTCTTACATTCGACGCGTTCATACGAATGCCGCAACCGCTGTGGTTACCATTATGATCGTCATGAGTATCAGGACTGACAAAACCGGAAAGCAACGAGCATCTCACAGGATGTGCCAGCTGTGAGGAAAAACCCACTAAACTAATGTTAAGACATGGGGGTTACGCAGTGTCGCAGTGTGTTGGGAATTCAGGGTCTTTTTGGGGGGGCGTCTCTCGCGCTCTTTCTTTCTTTCTGCCGGGCTTAGGGGTCGTCCAGCGACCCTCAGGCCATAGGCCCGCCCGACCACCCATTGGATTATGGAGTGGCCGGCATTGGGGTCGTAATGACCGCGCTCTCTCTCTCTCTCTCTCTCTCTTTTTCTCTTTCTCTCGCGCACGCGCACGCTCATGTAGAGACACAGACGCAGAGGGACCGAGTACATTGCGGATGCGGAGCTCTGTTCATGAAGCCCGGACCTAAAAGAAAAACCGTACATCATATCTGAACATATCCGAGAAACTCCAGCTCCAACCTGTAATCCAGAATTGTTGAAACACCGGGATGTAGCTCGAGACTCCCAACACATGAATGCCAAACAGACTACAAGCGCTCAGGGTGGCTACGTGTAGAGCTCATGTGAGCCGGCGTCAGAATTACTTGTTCATGCTGCTTATGTTTTTGACCTAGCGCGTCCCTGATCTTTTTCCGAGGAATTCGCCTAGCGCACTTGCAAGGACCATCCGAAGACAATGTCGAGTACAATTTCGTACAACTTTCGTACTGGAAATGCCTCGTTTAGGGTCCTGGCTGGATTGTGCTTGGTTGTAGTGCAACTTTAGTACTGGAAATGCCTCGTTTGGCGGTCAGGCTGGATCGTGCTTGGATTTTGGTCGACTTTAATACTGGAAATGCCTCGTTTGGGGTCCTGGCTGGATTGCGCATGCACACTGTGCATGTTCAAAGGCTCGGAGACGCGGGCAATAAGGCTTCAAGAGGTCCCACAGCGACTCGAACAAGACACAGAGCTGAATGGCGGCGCGCCAGTCAGCAGCTCGAAGAGAACGCAGCCCAGGGACCTTATGTGGAGACAGTCACCCAAACGGCTTCAACTACCGAGGGTACGAGTTGCTGATGCGTGGGCGCAGGTTTGATTTTGTCCGAACAGTATGGCTCGGGGCTGGGGCTGGGGCTTCTCGATCTGCAGCCTAGTTGAAAGCCTGGCGCTTGAGATATGAAGCTGTGGCCTCCACGGCTGCACTTTCAAGTCTGGAGTCTATACCAAATGTCCATGACGGCACTGAAACCAATCAAATCATAGTCCACATGTCCGAAAATCAAAGCAGCCGCATTGTATGGCGACCCTGAGGATCCCAGCCTTTCGCCCTAAACTCGCATGCACAATCGCCTCCTCATCTGAAAATGTCTGATATCAAGCAGCTGAAATACCGAAGCCCCTCGGAACATTCGGAACCTAAGCCCTCGCCACCCTCAAGCTTCTGAGACTCCCGGCCACAGGTCCGAGGCAAAAGAGTGGATGCCGCCCTCGAGGAAGAGTTCCGGCGCCATGTACTGCCTTACAGGTTGGGGGTTGGTGTAGGGCTTTGGCATTGGGTTTCTGCAAGTATCCGCTTCCATGATGTGAACATGCACGGCCTCAAGTGATAATCACACAAACACAGCTGTCTTTACAGAACTGTACGATCAAGCCGATGTTTACATTCTTACCTCTTGCCCCACGTCTTAATTGCATGCGGCTTTCCAGCCCCCAATTACTTCAATTCTTGGCACATGCGTCTGAAATTGGAAAAGCCTTAAGATGCCTTAAGTGAGCCTTAAACCCTGCAACTGAAATCCTCGGCCCTGAGGTCTGGGGAAGGTCGGCGTCGCACTGTACCGTTCGGCCTATGCTCAGGCAAGTCCGAACTTACATGTAGGGATTCGTTCGGGGCTTAGAACAGAAGGAGGCTCAGGGTTTAGGATTGGAGTCTGGACTGCGCTGGGTGCTTTGTATACGACTTGGGCCTACGACGGAACGCTCTAGAACGGGGACAGGGCTGTGGCTTATCACACTTCTGATCGCGACGTTGATTCCAGGCCCGAGACCAGGAGAAGGGCGCAGCAACAAGAGACCTAGAATTGTGAACTGTTGTTTGTCACAGGGTTGATAAGGGGCCCCTGTGGAGGGGACCCCTGTGGGTTGCGCTTTTGCCGAATGGGCGTGTTGCGTAATGGGGCGAAATGGGGCCCATTGGGGCCCATTGGGCAGAAACGCGCCCATTCGGCAAAAGTGCAAACCACAGGGGTCCCATTCACGAGGCCCCTTATCATCCCTGTGAGTTTGGTACCTTGCATGGCTACATCGTAAGTTGAATCATATAGCAGAACAAACAGTTGCCTAGCAAGACCAGACATGCACAGGAAAAGCACCAAAAAAGCACAAACCTTGACCCCGGAACCCCAAGCCTGCTAAACCCTAAATCCCCTTAAACCCTTCAGAACCTAGTAAGCCCTCGGCACCTCTCAGGCCAAGGCACGGCGAGCCCTTCCGAGGTGGCTGCCGTCCTTCGGCCAGAGCACGCTCGATGGCTTCGACCCGCTGTGCCTGGCTTCGGGCTTCAAGCTGCAATGTTTGGAGTGGCTTTTCCACCACCATCAGCAGCAGCATCACCATCATCCTCGGTAACGTCACCATCACTAGCATTATCACAGTCAACAGAATGGTCACCATGATCACTGTCATCAATCACTATTTATCCCTTCAGCATCAGTATTATCTTACGATCATCACCATCATCAAGGCCACCAGCTGCAGCATGATCGTCGTTTGGCTGCCTTGCCATTTGCCGATAAACCCGCAAGACATCCGTCTTCTGAATAGTTGGCTCGTCAGGTTTCTTCAAAGTACATATTGCTATGCGGGTAACTTCTGCATGGTACTGCCTTACAGTGAAAGGGACAAGCAACTTTTTAACTTCTTTACGCATGGATGTTTGCCCTATACCTCTTACAAGGACACATTGGCTGACTGCATCCAAAAGGTCTCACGGCACCAGATTACAAACCCGTTTTGGCGATAAGCAGGTATCGTGTTCACGAGTTGGGAAGACTGGGATTTGCAAGCTTTGAAGTCCACGGTCTCACCGGTTCGCGGTTCCTGCAAGCTTTCCCGCTGCCGACTTAACCGCAAAACATACCCGCAGATTGTTGTTTGTCCAATTCCCGGCCAGGAACTTGACCGAAATCACAGAGCTTCAGCGTCTCATTCTCATCGAATAGAATGTTCGCCGGCTTTAGGTCAGCATAGACGATCCCACCTGGAGGCACGAGCACATGAGGCGGCTCAAAGAACGGCCCACCAAAAGTCAAACATGTTGAAATAGCGTGCCGCCATGCAAGAATACTTGCGTTAACTGATGTGAAAATCATGCTTCATGGCCCTTCAGTCGGCCCGAGCTCAAGCCGGGACGCGCGAGTGGACGTGCAGCAGGCCGGCACAAATGTCGCCACCGAAGATGCGCACCTACAACCGTGGGTGTTTGGGCGTCCTAGAACCTAGATCACAGAAAGCTTTAGGGGGCACACCGGCTCCGAGGTTGACGCCGGCGAACCTCATAGCCTAGCAGCCTAGCAGCTTGCTTCACAAACAGCAACCTTCTAGGAACCAACATGTAACAAAAACTCACCAAATTTGAGGCGGAGCCCGCCCCCGAGAGGTCGAAGGGAGCGGGACTGGAGCTAATGCTCTCCAGATTCAGTGACTTTACAGCTGTTTATTTCTTCATGCATGCTGTGGGCTTCAGGGTGTCGGCCTTCCAGAGAAAGGAAGGAGAATGCCCCTCAAGCAACATTGCAGCACACACACACACAGAGAGACACCCTGCATGGTATAGCGTTTGGATGTCTCTACAGCCACACCACAAACCCGAAACGCGGCGCCATGAACTCCCAACACCACACAGCCTTAAAACGAAACCACTAAAACCTTTACATAGGTTTCTTGCGGTCAGGGGTGTGAAATTTAGTTAAGGACGCCCAACACAAGTATCCTATTGTCTGGCTTCCTATTGGGCCCCTGATTCTCTGACCCTCGGACTGCAGAGACCGGCATCCCGACCAACCCGACCAAGGTCGTACGGGAGTCCCAAGTTGAGTTGTGTTTGGGGCTTGTGGGGTTTTGAGTGTATGGGTTTTCGATTTTATCTGAATTTAGGGCTGGGGGCTGTATGGGCTTACGGTTCATCTTGGTTTGGGGCCTAGCGGTTTAATGTCGATCAATACAAAGATTGGGGCTACCTCCGTGGGTGAGGGACATAGCGCTTTCGGTGTTGAAGGGAAGGTTTTAAGAGCGGGCACTAAACCGCTAAGCCTGCAGACCGGGACGCTAGCCGTCGGTCAAATGCCATCGGACAGTCAACTTCGGAGTTCGCAGATTGCCATGTCTTAGACAAACCTTCGACCCCATACCTAGGATCGCTGATTCTGAACCCTACACAAACCCTGAACCGTGACACGAACCACCGATCCGCAAACCGTGAAATCAAGCCGAGGCGAAAAGCAAGCCAGAGCCAAATCAGTGCACGAAGCCCTGAAGCCTCTCAACACCCTGAAGGAAAACTTTCAAAACAATTTCCAACCCCACAAAACGTGGCAACGGCAGCCAACAGTGTGTTTTGCGCCTGGTTTTCGGGGAGGCTGCCGTCTTGCTTCAGCAGTCGAAGCAAGTCTCCGCCAGCACAGTACCTCACCGGTATTATTGCGTTTCATCAAAGCTGTGGATTGTGAAGTGCCTCCGTATAGAGTTCTACCGTGCTTAGGCTGTTTCAGGCATCCAGGTCTGATTAAGCGTGCCCGGGATTGATGCGGGCTGGCCAGTGGAGTGCGATTCGGGCGAAACAGCGTGCACAACATGCTTCGGCACACTCGCTTCAGGCTTAAGCAGGAACGAGAGATTGCAAAGGCTGCAGGGGCCAGTCCACCGGGAACGGACAGAAGGATTTGCAAAAAGAGTCGAGGATAATAGTCCACTTCAGGCTTTACCATACGGTGTGTTGTCAGGATTAGTACGGCCTTCTTGCTGGGCTCATCATGAGAATCCTTAGCCCTACAAGTACCTTGGGCTGCATTGGCTTTGTGGGGTAGCTGGTTCATCACATCGCTGGTGGTATGTTGTAGACAAGTGTACAAATGAACCAATACAAGATAGATACACACAGACAGACTGCCAGGCAGGCAGGCAGGCAGGCAGGTGGGCGGGCTGGCAGACAAGCACACCGACAGATAGATTACGTAATCTCAGTCAAAGTTCTCAAAATTTACATGGCTGGTTATGAAGTTCATTGTAGGGCACAGCGGTTTTCAGTACGGCGTCAGTAAGACCAAGGATGTTGCATCTAGGGTCTCTAGGGTTATAGGCTCCGGGGTAATTAAGATTTGGCGTTCGGTTCTGCCTCGACAGCCCTGCTTAGGGCAGGGGGAACCCACCGGAGTCTCACAAGTGCAAGCAGGCACTCGAAAATGGCCCACAGGTGATTCCGCGTCTCGTACATGTTGACGAAGCCAAGAACATTCCTGAGATCGTGCATAAAGACAATACGGCAAGAATACTGCCCCTGCTCCTGCTCGGGCTGCTGGTGCTACTGCTACACCTGCTGCGGCTGCTACTACTACTACTACTACTCCTACTACTACTGCGACTGCGACTGCGACTGCGACTGCGACTGCGACTGCGACTGCGACTGCGAGTGCGACTGCTCCTGCTCCTGCTCCTGCTCCTGCTCCTGCTCCTGCTCCTGCTCCTGCTACTACTACGACTGCTGCTACTGCTACCGCTACTGCTATCGCTACTGCTAGCGCTACTGCTACCTGCTGCTACTACCACTACTGCTACTACTACCGTACTACTACTACTACTACTACTACTACTGCTACTGCTACTACTACTACTACTACTACTACTACTACTACTACTATTGCTACTCCTGCTGCTACTGCTACTGCTACTGCTACTGATGCTGCTACTGATGCTGCTACTACTACTACTACTACCACCACTACCACTACCACTGCCACCTACTAACAATACTAACAATCTGAATCTACAAATAACTTGAGAAACGTGCTACGAAGCTAGAGCGGAGGACTGCAACGCAGCTGAGCGCAGTTGTTTCACTGAGGCCGCGTAACCCGCGCGAAGCTGGACAGCGCGGCACAAGAACTCATGCAATCCATGCAGGTTTGCTTCCAATGTTGCAGATATTTGCTCCATTAAGTTAGATTGTTGAAACTTTCCTGATGGGCTTGGTCTCGAACGTAGCATGTTAGGTGCGCATGCTTCAATGTTTCCACGCGCTTGTCGGCTGCGGCTCTTGGCCCTGAAGTGGCAACTGCGCCACATGTGAATGTAATCTGTCCTGATGGCAACTTAGCTAGTTGCTTCAGGGTCAGACGTGACGTCGGCCGACTCGGTCATGCAACACAAAGCGCAAGTTGCTATGTTGCTCATGTTACTTCAGCAGACGTTAAGCTTTCCTGATGGGCTTGGTCTCGAGCGTAGCATTTTACGTGTGCCGGCTTCAATGCTTCCACGCGCTTGTCGGCTGCAGCTCTTGGCCAGTGGCAACTGCACCATCATGCGAAAGTCATCTGTCCTGATGGCACTGAGGCCGCGTAGCCCGCGCGAAGCTGGACAGCGCGGCACAAGAACTCATGCAATCCATGCAGGTTCGCTTCCAATGATGCAGATATTTGCTCCATTAAGTTAGATTGTTGAAACTTTCCTGATGGGCTTGGTCTCGAACGTAGCATGTTAGGTGCGCAGGCTTCAATGCTTCCACGCGCTTGTCGGCTGCGGCTCTTGGCCCTGAAGTGGCAACTGCGCCACATGCGAATGTACGTAATCTTTCCTGATGGCAACTTAGCTAGTTGCTTCAGGGTCAGACGTGACGTCGGCCGACTCGGCAATGCCACACAAAGCGCAAGTTGGCATGCTGCTTATGTTGCGCAGGAGACCTACTAACCACTAACTACTAACTACGAACTAACCTAACTAACTAACTGGCTAACTGGCAAATTACCTAACTGGCTACTAACTAACTAGCGAGATCACTAGCTAGCTAGCTAGCTAGATAGCTAGCTAGATAGCTAGCTAACTAAATTCTCCTACTTTTACTACTACTAGTCATAATAATACTAATACTACCACCCCTACGACTACTATTGCCACTACCACTGCCACTACCATAATGGGCACTTTCCCATGAGCACGACTCCTTCCTATATATATATATATACACATAACATGGTGTCTCTATATAGAAATATATATATATACAGAGATATATCTGCACATATGTGCAAACACAGAAGTCTCGAACCAGAGCATATGCTGACATCAAAGCATGGTCGACACAGGCTGAGGTGGGGGGCGCTTATGTAGGGAGGATAAAGGTACTACTACTACAACAACTACTACTACTGCTACTACTACTACTACTTCTACTCCTACTCCTGCTCCTACTCCTACTCCTACTCCTACTACTACTTCTACTACCTCCTACTACCACTACTACTACCACTACTACTACTACTACTACTGCTGCTAAACTACTACTACTACTACTACTACTACTACTACTACTACTACTACTACTCCTACTCCTGCTCCTACTCCTACTCCTACTCCTACTACCTCCTACTACCACTACCACTACCACTACCACTACTACTACTACTACTACTACTACTACTACTACTAAGTTACTGCTACTACTACTACTACTACTACCACCACCACCACGACGACGACGACTACTACTACTACGACGGTACAACAAGTGTACTAATTGCAACTAAGTGTACGACTACTTGCCGTACTGATACTG